CCTTGCCAATATTTGAAATAGTTTTTAATTTTAGATATTCTACTAAATGTGCAATGTATCTCATAGCCTTTATTTGCATTTTCCTAATGACTAATGATCTTGCTATCATGTGCTTGTCATTCTTTTATTTTAACCCACTACAATAAAGGATTTTTACTGAATTTTTTTTATTATCAAGTTTGAGAGTCATTGACATATTATGGATATAAGTCCTTTATCAAATATGTGGTTTGCTAGGATTTTCCACAGTCTATGACATGATTTCGCATTCTCCTAACAGTGTTATTTAAAGGGCCTAACTTTTAATTTTAAGTCTATTTTATCAATTTTTCTTTTAGGGATTAAACTCTTGTGTTGAGATTTACTTTATGACTTAAAGTAGCGGGTCAACAGCTTTATTTTAAAAGGTCAGATAGTAAATAACTAAAACTTTGGGACACAAGGTCTCTCATAAATATACATTCTGCTGTTGTGGTACAAACACAGCAATAGACATTACAAACAAACAGACAAGGCCGTTTTCTCATACAACTTAATTTACAAAATTAGATAGTGAGCCAGATTTGGTGCATGTATAAGCCATAGTTTGCTGACTCACAGTTTAGAGTATGGTCTAGCTTGGTGAATGTTCTTTGTATAATTAAAAGAATGTGTTTTCTCTGTTGGGGGAATTGTTCTTTAAGTACAATTAGGTCAAGTCGAAGAGGACTGTTTGTCTTGTATAGTCAGGCAGACTTTATTATTTGCTGTCAGTTTGTTTTATTAATTATTGAGAGAGGATATTGGAATCCCCAACTGTGCTTATTGATTTGTCCATTTCTATTTTCATTTTTGCTTCAGGTACTTTGAATTTGTTATTAACTGAAAAATTATTTAGGATTATGCTCTCTGCTGAATCAGCCTCTTTATTTGTTGTGAAATGAACCTGTTCATCCCAGGAAATAATCTCTGTTCTAAAATCTATTTTGTTGAGTATTAATATAGCTACAGCTGTCTTTTAATTACTGTTGACATGGTTACCTTTTTCATACTTTTAATTTTAGACGATCAGGTAGTAAATAATTAATATATTTAAAAGAAATATACTTTCACATGGCAGCATATGGTTAGGTATTGCTTTTTCAGCCAATATGACAATCTTTACCTTTTATTGGGGATGGTTAGTACTGTTACATTGTATGTGATATGGACTATTGGGTTTAAATCTACTATGTTGTAATTTGTTTGCTATTTGTCTAAGCATTAGTTTATTCTCATTTTTTCTTTTTCCTGCCTTGTTTGATATAAATTAAATATCCTTTTAATGATCCTTTTTTTTACTATTAACCACAACTCTTCACTGTATTATATTTAAGGTTTCTGATAAGCATTTTTGACTTATCAGAGTCTACCTTCCAGTAACATTATACTTTTTCATGTAAGAAACATTTTAATTTCTACTTTTCTCATTTTTATGTTGTTGTTTTCACGTATTTCCTTCTGTATATATCTATTTCTTCATAGCACATTGTTATTATATTTGCCTTAAGCACTCAATAATCTTTTAAATTAGAAAAGGCTTTATGTTTACCCACATAATTACCATTTCCAGTGTTCTTCATAGATCTAGATTTCTACTCACATCATATTTCTGTTTTTAACATATTTTTATAAAGCAGGTCTACTGGTGATGAATTACTTCAGCTTTTATATGTCTGCAAAGTCTTTATTTTACCTTATTTTTTGTTTTTGGAAAAGTTACTAGGGTGGAAAATGTTTTTCTGAATTTTTATTTTTTATATGTTTTTTCTTACATCATTGTTAATTTTTGGACTACAGTACTTGTAGTTCTCCCACCACCACAAACCCTGCAACCCATCATCAGAGTCTCTTGTGCACTCCCCTCCCTGTTTTGCTTTTTTTAAAGATTTATTTATTTAAGCATACAAAAGCTTAGGTGTAGGCCAGAGGTGCAGGGAGTGAGAGGATTCACCAGAATCAGAGTAGGGAGCAGAACAGGTGCATTGACTGAAATACACTGCTAAGGGGAGCAGGGGGTGAGACAGGAAAGGTCTGCTGCGCCATGTGGGTCACCTCCCTGAGAGGGTGATCGAACTCATGCTGCAGTAGCTGCAGATTGCTTCATGGTGCTTACCCCCTTGCGCCACCCTCTACCCTCCCTGTTTTTGACCCCTCTTCCTCTCCTTCCACTCCTGGATACTTCAGATCTCTGGTCAGCTTGAAAGTTTTATCTTTTTCCTAGCCTTTTGTTTGTTTTCTCTATTTTTTGCATATATAAGTGAAGCCATCAACGTTTATCTTTTTCCTTCTGACTTATTTTGCTTAGCATAGTCCCTTCCAGCTGTCCATATTGTTACAATGTGGCAGGAGTATATCTTTTTTTGATTGCTGAGTATTATTCCATAGTGTGTATATACCACATTTTCTTGACCCAGTTATCTATTTTGGGGCATTTAGGTTGTTTCCAAATCTTGGCTGTTGTAAATAGTGCAGCAATAAACATATGAGTGTAGGTTTCTTTTTGAATTACTGTTTTTGTGTCTTTTGGGTACATTCCTAGAAGTGGAATCACTGGATCATATGGTACAACCATTTTCAGTGTTTTGAGGAGTCTCTACACAACTTTCCATGGTGACTAGACCATTTTAAATTCCCATCAGCAGTGTAAGAGGATTCCCTTTTTATCACATTCTCATCAGGAGTTGTTTCTGGCTTTCTTAACATGGGCCATTCTCACAGGTGAGAAGTGATGTATTTAGCTCTTCTGCCCATTTTTTGATTGGGTTATTTGCTTTGTTTTTGTTGAGTTATGCAAACTCTTTATAGATATTCAATATCATGGCCTTATCAGATGTCTGGTATTTCACCTCATTTTTTTTTTAAAGATTTATTTATTTGTACAAGAACCAGGGTACAGGCCAGATGTGTGGGAGGGTGAGAGGATTCACCAGAGACAGAGCGGAGAACAGAACAGGCAGACTGACAGAATACACTGCTGAGGGGAGCAGCGGGCACGACAGGAGAGTTCTGCACGCCATATGGGACCCTTGCCAGTGGGCCGGCATCAAACCTGAGCTGCAGAGGCTATGGAGAGCTTCACAGTGCGGCACTCAACCGCCTGTATCACCAGGGAGGCCCTCACCTTAATTTTTGAAAAATTATGTCATACAGAAAAATTCTAAGTTGACAGAATTGTTTTTAGCATTTTAAAGATGTTGTTCCAACTCTGACTTGCATTGTGTCCCATGAGATCACTATTAACTCTCTCTTTGATATTCTGTATCTAATGTGTCTTCTTTCTCAGACTCCTTTTAAGATTTCCTATTACTGAGTTTGAGCAAATTATTTTATACATCTTGCTGTGGTTTCCTCTGGATTCATAAAGCTTCTTTATTCTACAGGTTAAGGTTTTAATAAAATTTAGAAAAGTTTAATCATGATTTCTCTAACTTCCTTGGCCTTCCTGAATTCCCAGTTCTATCTCTTCAGCTCAAGGAGATTCCTGGGATGTTTCTAGACTCCCTCTCCCTACCACACCCAGAACACACTTTCTAGTCAATAAGCTGGGACAATCAGTGCTCACCTCATTTGTTTTCCATCCCTAAGGAGTCACTACTATTTGTTGTTAGATATCCAGTGTTTGGCTATCTTTGTTTATTATTTTGTTCATGTCTTTAGTTGTTTTAGGTGAGAGAATAAACTCAAACCTTATTACTCCAATTTATACAAAAATACAAACTCATAGTTTTTGAAATTTCCTCTTTTAGTTGTGTTATGGTTACAGAAGATTATCTATAAACTTTAAGAATTTGGAATTCCTTTAAGGCCTTATATATAATCCACTTTTTTCAAAAGATTTATTTATTTATTTATACAAGCACTGGGTACAGTCAGAAGCACGGAAGGGTGAGAGAATTCACCAGAGCCAGAGCATGGAACAGAAAAGGCAGACCAATGAAATACACTCTTGAGGGGAGCAGCGGACGTGGCAGGAGAGGTCTGTTGCTCCATGTGGGACCCTCACCAGCGGCCGGAGATTGAACTGGCGCTGCAAAGGCCTCGAGTAGCTTTGCAGCCCAGCGCTCAACCAATGGGCCACCAGGGGAGGCCCTATATAATCCACTTTTGCAAAGACCACATGCTCTCTTAAAAAAAATAAAAGCCCCCTTTTTGTCTGTTGGGCACAAAAAGTCCATATATAGTTGCTTCAGTCTAGTAAATTCATCATGTATGTTAACATTACTTTTGCTTATATTTAGTAACCCTAAACTATTAGTTTCTGAAAGGGATATATTCAAGTTCCATCTAAATTTTTGTTTATTTCTCATTTCAGTTTTTGTAGCTATTGTTTAATATGGTTAAGGATTATATGGATAGGTGCATATGTATTTATAGTGAATATCCCTTATTGTTTTACCAGCATGTGATGTCATTATTTTTTCCATGTGAAAGTATTGCCTGAAGTTCTGGTTTTCAAATATTTAGCTTCATCTCATAGATTTTTTTACTCTTACTCACTTACTGTATCTTTTCCAGTTATTTTCAACATTTATTGGTCTATTTACTTTAAATATCTCTGTGCATAATATAATATTAGCTCCTTTAGGTATATATACTAGGGTATCAGAAAACTTAGGGATACATATAATAAAAGATACTAAATAAATATCCTATCACAAAAAATACAAAATATAACTAAGAGAAATTAAGAAATATTTAAATAAATATAGGTATAGGCTATGTTCAAGTTTTGATAGATTCAATATTATAAAGATATCAATTCTACCAAATTGATCTATGCATAAATACAATGATATTAATATCCCCAGAGGTTATTTTGTAGAAATATATAAGCTGATTCAGAAATTAAGTTGAAAATGCAAAGCAATAAGCAGAGCTAAGGTAATTGTCTTAGTCTGGTCAGATGACTTTAGGAAAATATCATAGGCCCGGTGATTTATCAATGACAGAATTTTATTTCTAACTGTTCCATAGACTGCAAAGTCCAAGGTCAAGATGCCAGCAGATTCAGTGTCTAGTGAAGCCTGTTTCCTGGTACATAGAGAGCTCTCTCTATTATCTCACAGGACACAAGGGTCAAAGGAGTTATCTGGAGTCTCTTTGGTAAGGCACTGATTCTACTCTTGAGGAATATACCCTTATGATCTAATAACTTCACAAAGGCCTCACAGCCTAATACATTTATTTTGGGGTGTAGGATTTAATATGTGAACTTGAGGAGGACACATCAATTCCATTACATCAGTAATCTTGAGGAGAACAAAGTGGCAAGGATTACTCTATCAGATATCAAGACCACAGTAAATTTTTTTTTCCTCTTATCACTTTTTTTTTTAATTTTAATAATAAATTTTATTTTTATATTCCCCATACAATTGCAGCCCCCCCATTCTGACCCCAATCTCTCCCCTCCCACCCCCGCCCCCTTAAAAGTGTCTCTGGTTCGTAGTTTTTTGTTGATTTTGATTTTCATTTTCTTATAGTTATTCGTTTTCCTGGTCCCTTATTTAAGTTTTCTAGATTCCTGCTATGAGTGAGACCATCCGGTATTTTCCTTTTTCTTTTTGGCTTATTTCGCTGAGCATGATCCCTTCCAGTGCCATCCATGTTGCTGCAAATTGCATGTGTTTATCTTTTTTGAATGCTGAGTAATATTCCATGGTATATATGTACCACATCTTCTTGATCCAGTCATCTATTTTTGGGCATTTGGGTTGTTTCCAAAGCTTAGCTATAGTAAATTTTTAAAAGTGTTATACTACCACAAGTATAGATTAATAGATAAACTGAACAGAATGGTGACTAGCCTCTCACCCACACCTTGTTTATGATACAGGTACTGCTAAAGACCATTAAAAAAGTTTTCTAAGGCTTCCCTGGTGGTGCAGGGGTGAAAGACAGCTCTATCAAGCTATCACCAGCCACTGCAGCACAAATTTGATCGCTGGCTGGCCAGGGAGCTAACCCACATGGTGCAACAGACCTCTCTTTTCTTTCCCACTGCTCCCCTCAGCAGAGTATTTCAGTAGATCTGCCTTTTCTGTTCCCCACTATCTCTGGTGAATCCTCTCAGCCCCCACACCTCTGGCTTACATCTCAGTTCTTGTATGAATAAATAAATAAATCTTCAAAGAAAAAGTTGACTAAATAAGAAATGGTGCTATTAATTCAGATATCTCTATAGAAAAATAACTCTAATTCACTTTATTTGCAAAAATAAATTCCAAGTATATTGTAGATAAGCCATTTCTATCAATTAATATAGAACTAAAGATAAACCAAAAAATATTAAGAAAGACAGAAAGCACTAGGCATAAATAAAAAGTTGATAAACTATACTAATTGAAATTGAGAAGTTTTGTGCAAGCTGCCCATAGATCTGAGGCATACAGCAAGGGAGTATGAGGCAGAGTGTCAAAAAGAGGAGGGAAGAGCACAAGGGACTAAAGTGATGGTTCGTAGGTGATTATGGTGGTGGGAGAACTATAGGGATGAAACATTTGCCTTGTGTGTTTACCCTTTTAAAATAAACATTTTTTAAATTAAAATATCTGCACACAATAAACTAAAATATATCTTTCTACAGTTTTATTCATTTTGTTTCTGTTCTTTACACTACACAAAGTAAACTTTACCCTCAGTTTATAGAATATCCTTTCATGGATTTGAATATAACAAAGGTCACATAGCTACATAAATAATAGCAGAGTTGAACATGGCATTAAGGTTTATTTTGCCCAACTATTTCTCCACTAAGCAAATGTTTATAATGTCCCTTCCAGAATATTCTAGACAATATATGGATGCTTCAAAAAAATGAGTAACTCATGAGCTGCCAATGACACTACACAGCAGAGACAATATTAAAACCCTAAGATGACTGAATAATTTCTTAACCACAGTACAACTCTATTGCTACACCATACTTGGTAGTGTTCTTCATTGCTTCATAGATTCTAATAATATCTAATAGTACTAATAATATCTAATAACAAATATAGATGTATAATACTAATAGTTGTTACTGAGTTCATCATTAGCTTCTTCATTTTTGTTTGGAAAGGATTCTCTTTAAAAGGTTGGCTTGAATCATAAGGAAGAAGCTAGCAGACATGAAATATTTCATGGAACAACCTTCTAACCACATATTTTCAATTAGCCAATCCAGTTAGGCAGTATTTGCCTTTCAGAGAGAGGGAATTTTTTTTCCTAGTGACTTATTTACCAGATAAGGACACTTGAGCATGAAAAGAGTCTTCCAAAACAGGAAGGAATAGGTTGGAAAATTCCAAGACCTACCATTCTTTAATAAATAAGTCAGGTACTATAATTAACCAGCTAGGGTGCCCTGGTCTAACCTTTTAGTTTGCTGTTATGTTTTCTGCATATTAATTACTTCAGAGAGTAACTTAGCAGGTTTTGAAAGTGTGTGCAGCAATTAGGTCATTCATGTCTCACTACCACCAATTTAAAAGCCTGAAGGCTTGGTTTGAGGCTCAAGTTAATTCCACTGAACTACCTAAGTGAGAAAATTTGCAGTTCCTCATGCTCTTTGCAAGTTGATATTTTAATAGTTTATTACACTCTACCTGCTCTACATGCTGCTAGAGTATCTCCAATTGGAAAGGAAGTAGACCTTTCCAAAAACCTGTGAGTGACATGCTAAATGGAAGTGGTAGATTGAGGTCTTGGAAAACCTACCAAGTCAGCTGATATTAAAGGGATATTACCAGTTTTCTTTCTAGCCTGTACTCAAGATGTGTCAACCAGAATGTCTTTTCTCTGTTTTCTTCATCTCACCAAATCCTACTGAGGGTGTAAAAATGTTTGGTCTCATTCAAGATGTCCCCTATAAACTCCTCTTTCTAATTTGTTATCTGTTGTTTTTTTTTTTTTTCCACCAGTCTGTGCACTATTTTTTTTATAAACAGGTTTATCTCTTTGTGCCACAAAATCTAGTAACAGTTTACTGCATATTATGATTATCTTTAAAGCTACTTTATAGACAAGTTCCAGTTCTAATTAAAATAGAGAAGGCACATTCGATCCTGTCTCATTAAATGCAGCTAAAATTCTTAGATAGAATAAACAATGCAACACTCTAAAAACTCTGAAAAGTTGATGGTAGTACATGTGTAGGAGAAATAACTGCAAACATAAAGTTCAATAATATGGCTATGAGTTTCATGGTTTGTTTTTCCTCCCATATCTCTCAAGTATATGGCAAAGGCACATTCAAAGGCAGCATAAATCTCTGTTCATCCATGGACAGAATGAGCTCTAAGAGAAGATCTCTTATTCTGACCCTGAAGCAGGAAGGGAGCCTCCCTAAGATTTCTCATTCTGACCCTGAAGCTGGAAAGGGGCCTCCCTTAGGGCAGAGAAAGTAGAATCAATTTCCTGTCTTCTTTCTCATATCCCTGTACCCAATCAAACCCTCTCCGGCAACTGTATCAGGTCAGTTGTCACAGTGGCCAAACATACATCTAAAACTGCAAGGGCAGGGCCTCCCCGGTGGCGCAGTGGTTGAGCGCTGGCTTGCGAAGCTGCCCCGCAGCCTCTGCAGCACTGGTTCAATCCCTGGCCATGGGGCGAGGGTCCCACATGGCGCGCAGACCTCTCCTGCCTCCCACTGCTCCCCTCAGCAGTGTACTTCATCGGTCTATCGGTCTGCCTGTTCTGGCTCTGGTGAATTCTCTCACCCTCCCGCTTCTGACTGTACCCAGTGTTCATATAAATAAATAAACAAACAAACAAGCAAACAAGCAAATAAATAAATAAACAAACAAACAAAATAAATAAATCTTAGAAAAAAATAAAAAATAAAAATAAACTGCAAGGGCAGGGCCTCCCTTGTGGCACAAGGGGTTAAGCACAGCACTGTGAAGCCATTCACAGCCTCTGCAGAGTGAGTTCGATCTATGGCCGGCCAGGGAGCTACCCACATGGCACAACAGACCTCTCCTGCCTCACCCCCTGCTCCCCTCAGCAGTGTACTTCAGTCAGTCTGCCTGTTCTGTTCCCCACTCTGTCTCTGGTAAATCACCTCACCCCCCACGTCTCTGGCCTGCACCTCAGTTCCTGAATGCATAAATAGATAAATCTTTAAAAAAAATAAAACTACAAGGGCAGAAAATTATCCTTTCTTACTAGAGCAACTGTGGTCTAAAGAATGTAGAAGTGACCAAATATGTACCTAACTCTCCGAGGGAAAAAAATGACTTTCTCTAACTGAAGGAACTATGGCCCAAAGACTATGTAGGGAATCCATTTTGTCATTTAGCCCTGACCCAATTGTCCAAGTTTTTTCCAGAGGACAAGAATGGGGGATCCTCTTAGTGTCAAAAACCGTGAATGTGATAGCAAAGGGGACAGAATTTGAAAAAGAGAAACTTTTGGACTTATTCTACATTTTACATGCAGGACTGTTTCCCTAATCATGCCTTGGTAGACTCCAAAAAGCTTTGAGAATGGAACTATGGGTTAGACCACTGATAGATTCCTCTTGGGAGACGCAAATGCTGGATAGAGGCAAACAGCAATGAAAGACTTTTGACAACAGAAGTGACTTGGGAACCACAGCCCAAAGAGGATGAATCAGAATTTGTGACCAGAACATAGCCAGAGTGATTTATGGCAAATAAGTAAACAAAACACAATCTCCAAAAGATTTTGTAAAGGCACAGTGTCCCATAATGTAATCTTCTTAAGGTCCAGGATCCAATCCAAAATCGTACAAAAGATTAGAAAAACCTGACAAACCCTCAAAGGAAAAAACAATAACAGAAGCCAACCCAGAGTTGTTAACAGAATTATGGGATAATTTATCAGAATTATATGGAACAAAACCCAAAGGCATCTATTATAACCAGGATGAAGTAAAAATGAACATTCTTGAAACAAAACCTGGCAATGCCAACCACTGGTAAGCACGCTGAGCAATTCGAACCCTCATACACTGGTGGTGAGTATGCAAATTGACACAGCAGCCTGGAAAACAGTTTAGCAGTTTTGGATAAGCTAAACCTAAAATTATCATATGACCCAGAAACTGAAATCCTGTGTATTACTGTAGAAAAATTAAAGCATGATCATATAAGAACCTGTAGATAAATGTTTATATCAGCTTATTCATAATTACTAAAAACTAGAAACACCTCAAATGTCCTTCAGTGGATGGAGAAACACACATGGGTTCATCTGTAGAATGAACTACTACTCAGAAGTAAAAGGGTGTGACCACTGAGGCAAGCAGGAACTCAAGATTCCAAGTGAGGACTCCAGTCCCAAAATGTAGCATGATTCTATTTGCACAGCAGAGCTAGGGGGTCAAAGGTAGGGGTCAGAGAAGGATTTGACTAGAAAGGGCAGCACAAATAATTTATTTATAAATTTGTTTTATATCCTGATTGTGGTGGTGGCTACGTACATTTGACATGTGTTGGAACTGATAGAAAAATTCACCAAAAAAGTTAATTTTATGGTATGCCTGTTTTGTTTAAATGACAGTACAGTCTGGCTAATGATTGCAACTCATTTATACCTCTGCACTTATACTCTGCATTTATGCCAATAGCACTGAAGTTCATGCTAAGCAAATGTATATTGGCTTATTTTTAAAGAAATAGATGACCATGTGAAAATTGAAGTGATTTCTGACAATTAAATACTATGAATATTTTAGCAGTACAATCAAGAAAATAATATCAACTAAAATGTATAACAAAGTTAACATGTATTATTGTTATGAATCATCATTATTGATTTGCATGGTATGTAGTCTATGTAAATGACTGTAATTAGCATTGTTTTTATAGTCAACATTTTTTAAAATTTTCACTATTTGCAATCATTATCAATGTTTTGACTCCACATGCTCATCAAACACAATATATACATATATATATATATATATACACACACAATATATACATAATATACACATATATACACACAATATACACATATATATAAACACAATATATACATATATACATAATATATACACAATATATATACACATATAGTTTATATACATTATATATTAATGTATGTGCTGTATATAAATGTTATGTGTAATATAGTTTATATGTAATGGTATACATGTGGAATATATATTATATATGAACATTATATATATGTAATTGATAATGGTTACAGGTACTGGTGAAATTCTTAATGTTAATTTACACAGTCTACCTGCTATACAAACTAATATATTTAGCTACAAGTATATATGTAGTTATTTAAATACAATATGTATTATATTTGGGGATATGAGTAAAGGAGAAAGGTTTGTAAGTGGCATAATGAAGATTGAGCTACTCAAGATAAATGTTGAATTGGTTAAATAAAAGAGTTAAAATTTTATTTTTTAAAGATTTATTTTATTTATTTATGCATATAAGAACTGATCTCTAGGCCAGAGGTGCCAGGTTGGGGTGGTTGAAAGGATTCACCATAGACAGAGTGGGGAGCAGAACAGGTGAATCTACTGCAATACACTGCTAAGGGGAGCAGTGGGCAAAAGAGGAGAGGTCTGCTGCACCATGTGTGTTAGCTCCCGGCCGGGCATAGAACTCATGCTGCAATGGCCAGCAATAGCCTGAGAGCAGAGACTTTAACCCCGTGCCACCAGAGAGGTCCTTAAAGAGTTAAAATTTTAGACTTCTGCTAACCTGCAATAAGCTCTATACAGTATAGTGTGTTAGAAACTTTAATGGAAACAATTGCAAATAATCCAATATCTCTGACTTTCAAAAAGATTCACATAAGAATAAGAAATACAGAGTCCATGAAGTAGAAACTGCAAACTTTGTGAACTCTAAAATGTCACATGAAATAAAGATAACACACTGCAGGCTTTGGTACACATGATAACAGAAGTAATAAAAAATCCATAGATTATTACAGGAGAAGGACATTATTTGTAACTAGAGAGATCTAGAGCCTTGTTGGGAAGTAGTGATTGAGTTGACAACAGTTAGAGGCAGGGGCACATGGAAACTGATTGATGGACACTTGGGATGTCAATGACTGAGCTGGGTGACATACACCAGACTGAAAGGATGAGAAACGTGGTTGGGACATATTGAGTCTGAGGTATAGATAGGTTGGAAATGCCAACTGAAAGCCTAGGATTGAAGTGAAAGGCAAAGGGCATAAAGGCTAAAGTTTAAAAGAAGTACACCAAGGAACAGAATTAGAACCCATAAACAGACCCACACATGAGTAGGTGAACAGAAAGTTATGACAAAGGAGCCAAGAAAATATAGTAGAGTAAGGAATGTCTCTTCAATAAATGGTGTTGGAAAAACTGGACAGCCACATGCAAAAGACTGAAAATATACCCCTATCTCTCATCATTCATAAAACTTAATTCAAAATGGAATAAATACTTGAATATTAAGACTTAAAACTATAAAACATATAGAAGAAAAAAATAGGTGATACGATCAATGGCATAGTACTTAAAGATGTTTGGGATACTTGATTCCAATGGCAAGGGAAAAATTAAATAAACAAATGCAACTACATCAAAATTAAGTTTCTGAACAGCAAAAGAAACTATCATCAAAATAACATCCTACCGAATGGAAGAAGATATTTGCAAGCCATACCTCCAACAAGGGTTAATATCTAAAATATATAAAGAACTCATAAAAACCGCAAACAAGCCACCTGATTGAAAAATAGGCAGATTATCAGAATACATTTCTTGGATGTATTTGAGATATTTGAGACTAAGTAACATCCTAGAGATTTGGATTGGAACTACATTCCATATAGTCCAAGAGGTTACTTCATTGTCCCAAATAAGACATACAGATGCCAAATGGGTACATGAAATGATGTTCTTCATGTCCTATTGTTTGGAAAACACAAACCAAAACCACAATGTGTTTATCACCTCATATCTGTGAAAACAGCTATTATCAAAAGGCATCAAACAAGTGTTAGAGAGTGGATAAAAATGATGTGATACATATATGTATAATCGGATACTACTCAACTGTTAAAAAATTATATCCCGTCATTTGCAGCAAAATGGATGAACCTAGAGATTATTATGTTAAGTGAAATAAGTCAGAGAAAGCAAACACATATAATTTCTAATATGTGGTACATAAAGAAATAAATGAACTAAATAAGTAAAAAGTAAACTTTTAGGCTATAAGACCAAATTAGTGGTTACCAGAAAGGAAGGGGGAAAGGGAAGTAAATTGGGTAAAAGAAATCATTATATGGTGAAGGATGGAATTAGAATTTCAGTGGTAAACTTAATGTAGATACACAGGCACTAATTTGTAATGATGCACATCTGAAACGTATATAACGTTATTATACAATTTTAACTTCAATAAAATCATTTTAGGGCCTCACTGGTGGTGGCAGGGGTTAAAGAGAGAGCTATCAAGCTATCACCAACCACTGCAGCACGAATTAGATCCTCCCACCAGTGAGGAAGGAACCCACATGGCACAGCAGACCTCTCCTGCCTCTTCCACTGCTCCCCTCAGTAGTGTATTTCAGTAGATCTACCTGTTCTGCTCCTTACTCTGTCTGGTGAATCCTCTCATCCCTTGCACCACTGGTCTGCACTCCAGTTCTTATATGCGTAAATAAATCCTTTTAAAAAATGAAATAAAATAAAAATTAAAAATAATTTTTAATAGTGCAAAGATTTTAACAAACACCTAAGCCATGTGGCTTTTAGTAGGAAAAGGAGTCAGTGATATAGACTGAGCAATGGAGGGAGAGGTAGGAGAGTTAGGGACGTTTATGGGAGAGTGGGCAAGAAGAGGTCATTAAGCCTTGAAGCATGCTGGTTAATTACTTCTTGACTTTCAACAAAAGTCAAATTTCACTAAAAGATAAAATTAGAGAACAACAACAAAATAAAAACACAGAAAAGATGTTATAGATTTAAACATCGTCTGAAAAACTTTGCCACTCCAAATCTCTAGGATGTTACTTAGTCTCAAAAAATGATAAGATCTCAACAGTTATATGGATTACACAAAGAATTGTCCCATTTTTTATTGCTTCTCAGCCTTTTGGTTAAGATCAAGTGAAGAATTGTCCCATTTATTCTTGAAGCAAATTATCTGTTCATGCATTGTTCGGTATAGGGCCATCCAATTGATACCTATAACTTATGGCTGGACAACATCAGAGCCAAGAAGTCATTGAGAGAGAAATCATATTTTTTTGATGATTTGCAGACTTCTGGGGGAGAAGTAATGAAAAGAGAAATAATGTAAGCAGGGCTTGTCTCCAGCCGTGACCAATTTCCCCACACTGCATTAAAGCAATCAGTTTGGAACTAGCAAACTCACAGGACTTGAGCTCTTAGTATATCTCATTGCCCAGACCTGGAGGAATAAACAAGGGTCACTTCTTCCTCAGGACATGACTTGCCTGTTGTCTTCTAGGACATGTTGCTCTATCACCCATAACTGATTCCTTGGGAGGCCTGACAGCGATGTTTTCTCAACATGCAGGGTTCTGGATCTATACTCATAAGGTATTTCTTATTTGTTGTGATCTGTTCTCTAATTGATGGGAATAGAAATACTCACCATTTCTGAGGGAATTATGGACAAGCAAGGCAGACTGGAGAAATTGCAATAGGCACTCTCTAGAGGCCCTTGTTCCATTTTTTTTCCAACAGTCACACATGATAGTGGCCCCATGGGATGGAGTATGACATTTCATATCCAAGAAAACAGATAACAAAAATAGTTCCTTTCTAATGCTACATCAACCTCTTCCCCCAGGACTTGACCACTCCAAGACAATAAAATCTGCTCGTGGAAACAGGCTAAGTGGATTGTTCTGGTATGTGTTTTTGTTTCATTTTGCTAAAGTTTTATTCTACTGCTATGGAGCCCTGACTTGAGGGTATTGGATAAATGCTAAATAATAATCTGACTGAGAAAAAGAAATGGATTTCCCAGCATAGCAGGTATAAAGAGAACAGGCTTAATTATTGATTCTCATTCCTGCCTTGTTCACACATCAGCTCACATTCAAATAACTTAAGGGAGAAAATAGTTCAAAATCTAGTAAAGCAGAAACTATTCTAAGGCTGTTAGAGTGTCAATTCCATCTTTCCTTTAATTTGGAAATTTATTTCTATAACACTGTATTAAATCAATAAAGAAAATACTGGAGGAAAGTTTACCAATATGTATCTAACTGCTGAAGTTGTAGCTTGCCGGATGAAAAACCAAGCAGAGAAAGAATCAGAATGCCTGGTTTGTGGGAAGTACTCATGCCACTTTTATGTAGGATTTTCAGTGTAGAATTTTTAAGCCCTTAACCACCAATTAGAAACCACAAGGAAACCTTTGGAGCGGCATGGTGTGGATTTGGGTATGGCACTTTGTAACAGTGAGTTTTGAATCCCTCTTGCTTTTCACTAAAGGTACCATATTAAAAATTGGAAAAAATGTTTTCCAATTTATGAAATGAGTTCTAAACTCTCATATGGTATATAAGGATCAAATCCAGAGAGTTAATTTGGATGGGAAAAATCTATATAACAGGCATAATTCCTTTTCTACTTTCACCAGAAAATAGTGAATTCAGATTTTTCATTGAAAAAGTCTGTGTTGTATGTATAACAGAAACATGTGTAACTGCTTCACAAGCTTAACTTTCAAGATAGTTCTACAGAAGCACAGTGAAAAAAGAGAATTAAGGCAATTATATATTCAATCTAGATGTCAGCAGAGGTCATCCTGTCCTTTGAGACTTAAATAAAATTAACTTCAGCCACTTTTCTCATCTTTAATAAGAAACTCAATATCCTCTCTAAGAGTTTTGCACACATCTTAAATGCACCTTCTCATGATTATCTGTATTTTTAATTAACTATTCCCAGCGAGCATGCATCTTCCCTTCCTGATTGTTCTCTTTTTGTTGCCCAGTGTTAACTCATATGCCAACAGAGCCTTTTTATTCCCTAAAACTCTATTCTTAGAAAACATTTCTATGTAGCAAATGGCCATTACATGGCAGCAATATACAGAAATAATTTTTAGGCCTCCCCTGGTGGCGTAGGCGGTTGAGCACAGAGCTGTGAAGCTGTCCACGGCCTCTGCAGCGCCGGTTCGATCCCAGCCAGCCAGAGCATCCCACATGGAGCGACAGACCTCTCCTGTCTCACCCACTGCTCCCCTCAGCAGTGTATTTCATCAGTCTGCCTGGTCTGTTCCCTGATCTGTCTCTGGTGAATCCTCTCACCCTCCCGAGCATCTGGTCTGTACCCCGGTTCTTCTATAAATAAATAAATAAATCTTTAAAAAAGTGTATTATATATTAAAAAAGAAATAATTTTAAAATTAATCTTCAAAAATTTATCCAGTGAACTCTACCACTAAGAAATTCTCATTGTCCAACATTTCTGCACAAAATTCTTTCCATATACACCCATATTTATCCCATTTGCTTGGTCCTATCTCTTTTCCTCAGAACTCTTCCCCTTTCCTTACTTTTTGCTTCCTCAAGTAATTGCTAATTTTCATGCAAAGCAATTTAATGGTCTTTTTGTTTTATGGTCTTCTTCAAGAGTTCCAAGTTCCTGGAGCTACATCTTTCACAAGTGCAGACAGATATTTGGCTAAACACACCATCCTGTTAGAAGAGTCACGTCACTACCTTAAGAGGCAAATGGCAGTTATCTGCTGTTACTTTTTATTGTTTTTTCTACATCCATATAATTAAAATAGACCACAATAATCAATGTCTATGTATTTGTGGCCATAGATTAAGGTAGTGTCACTTAACCAATGATCAGATACTTATTTACATATTTTATGCAATATGCCCAACCTCAGAAATCCAACTATGAGAACTTCACCCAAGAAAATGATATTGAATTTGTTATGAGCTTCTATTAAATACAAATTACTGAATGTGTGATAATTTCTCAAAAGATAAGCAGGTAAAATTTTTATTTATAATGAGATGTCATAGGAAGCCGAGTTTCCATTTGCTAGAGAAAGAGAATATGTTCCACTCCACCTCGTGTTTCTATGATTATGGTCATGTTGGGTGAGATACGGAGTTTTGAGAGATATTCTACTTGGACTCCCAGCCTCCCCCAAAGTATGACTGCCAGCTAACAAATCATAAACCCACAGTATATGAGCTTCCCTAGAAAATACTTTATTGACACACTAGATGAATGATAATAGTTTATTTGGTGAATATTAAATGTTAGATAGTAAGGGCTATGTAAATATTAGACAGGACAGCATTTTGCACATAATATAAACTCAATAAATGTTAATTTGTCCACTCCCTTCCCCTTAAATCTTACTGAAATGAAAAATCAGTTTTTGAATTTGAATCTGTATTTGACTTTTTAGTAGCTATATCACACCATCAGCCTCATCCCAGTAACTGAAACCATCCAAATTGTATAGATATGTAGAGATTCTTCTAATTTCCTGATGATTGTTGTTAGGCTGTATTTTTCCCATTCTGCATTTAATGTATTACTTCTTTTAAGTACAGTGTATACACACACACACACACACACACACACACACATATAATCTCTTTGAAATGTCATTCTGTGCTATTTGCTCTCATAAATTCAAACTGTCAAGATTTTTTAAACTTTTAATTCTTATGCAGAATTTGATATATGGCAACTCTAATTTATCTAAATCTTTGTCTCTTCTTAAACATTTTGACATATTAAAAATAATCATAATGAGCAAGATAGGAGGCAGCAGTCTTATGACATGCTGTTTCAAAATGTACCAGGATTTGTTTTAATCAGATATGGTAAGACAAGCACACACAGAAATGACTGGAGGGAAGAAGTGTCACAGATCCCTAGAAGCAGGGGGCCCAGCGTGTCACGCAGTCACACAAGGAAGCACCAGTCAATCAGGAATGAGGGGACACCAGGGTGCAAGCCTCTATTGAGCTTTTTTGAGGAAGAAATGGGCAATGCAGAGTAAGCAGGTAGACAGGTTTAGGACTGGCCACCTTGAGTGATTTCAGTGAGCTCTGGGATATAAGGGTGATCTCTTGTTGCCCCATAGCTCGCCTTCAGGTAGTTTTTGTTTGTTTAATTGAAGAAAATTTGGTTTACATCACTGTATTTGTTTTACCATTTATAGGCTCTAACCTCTACATGTGTATGTTTTCACACCATGCTCATGACCAAAGTCCCAATAATTTTCTACCTTGTTCCATTGGACTTCCTCCTCCACCACTCCTGCCCCACCAGACTCCTCTTCTAGTTGCCTCAGTTTTGTAGTCAGATGTCAAGTGTTTGTTATTGCTTTGGTTTTGTGTGGCCCTTTGTTTTATTTCTCTATATTCCACTTTAAAGTTTTTTTTAGTGGAGCCTTTTCCATTTTTATTATCAAGTGTCTGCAAATAGTGATAGTTTTACTTCCTCTTTCCCAATCTTTCTCATACCTAAATGCTCTGATGTAATACTATGTTGAACTGTAGTGGAAGAGCAGATATCCATGTTTTGTACCGGGTCTTGGGGGAAAAGCCCTCAGGTAATTTAAGGCAGGAGAACAGGCACTGAATTCCAGGCATCTGATAAAGAAGGCAGGTAGGGTTTATGCTCTGAATTGATTGGCTTGCACTTAGAGAGTGCACTCTGGGGAGAGTGTTCACTAAGTCTAGGAATGAACTATCCCTAGTAGGGACTGTCACCACTCAGGGAGACCTCAGATATGATGCCAGAGCACCAAGAATATGGAAAATGTCAGGGCCTCCCTGGTGGCACAGGGGGTTAAGACACAACCTATGAAGCTGTCCACAGCCACTGCAGCATGAGTTCGATCCCCTACCAGGGAGATAGCCATATGGCACAGCAGACCTCTCCTGACATGCCCGCTGCTCCCCTCAGCAGTGTATTTCAGTCACTGTGCCTGTTGTGTTCCCCACTCTGTCTCTGGTGAATGCTCTCACCCCCCACACCTCTAGCCTGTACCCCAGTTCAGGTATGCATAGATAAAAATAAATCTTTAGAAAAAAGACTATGGAAAACGAGAAGATGCAATTAATAAATATGCCATTAAGGTATTCTAGTTGCATCCCCTAAAGTAGGCCCTGGGACAATACTGTCTCTGGTACTTTGTATGGGTTGACCTTTCAGCTCATCACTGAAAGATGAGCAAAAATCAACCAGTTTGTCCAAAGCCCACAAATGTATAGTAGAAATGAGCTGGTAGTCCTCCCTGGTGGCACAGCGGTTGAGCCCTGGGCTGCGAAGCTGCCTGCAGCCTCTGCAGTGCCCTTTCAATCCCCAGTCGCTGCAGACCTCTCCTGCTGCCTGCTGCCTGCTGCTCCCCTCAGCAATATATTTCATCAGTCTGCCTGTTCTGTTCCCTGCTCTGGCTCTGGTGAATCCTCTCACCCTCCCGCGCTTCTGACTATTCCCAGTGCTTGTATAAATAAATAAATAAATAAACAAACAAACAAACAAATAAATAAATAAATCTTAAAAAAAAAAAAAGAAATGAGCTGGTAATTCAGACCTCTTTAGCCCTTCTTTGGCACTACCTCAATCATGCAAGCCTGGTTTGGATACAGTTGCTCAATCAACAGTGCCATATTATTCAAAAGGATATCAAATAAATTATGACCAAAAATCTAATTGCAATTGAAAATGCAACTTTATCAATTACCCTTTTAATCCAGAATGGTAAAAAGACTTACAATTGGCATGACTAAATTTCTTAGCAACCTGAAAGTTCTCAGTAACCTTTTAAAGTTCAAATTGAATTCAAATTTTAATCCAAATTGTCTTCTCTCTAAGTTCTTATATCATTAATATATATTGCAGATTT